TACAGTCGACCTCCCCTACAGTCACACGCTCGGGCCGGACAAAATCAGTGACTCTAAGGAGGGGTGACTGTATAAAGGGATTCATCGATAGTCATGTGATCAATAACATAGGTTACACGATAAGTTTTTATTAAAAGAAGTAATAATGAATTTACGTAAAATAAGATTCGATTTTTTGTTGACGTTTTGATTCAAGTTCCTTGAGGCTGAGCAGGTTTAGATATTTACGAAACATGCGCAAATCATTAAAATCAAAGACTGTACTGTCAGACTGCTGTTCGAAATATCTAATTACAGTTTCTAAACCCAACCGAGCATCTTTTACCTGCACACATGATATTTCTTCTCGAGACTCGTCACTGTCATCTTCATCCTCCATAATGACCATAGAAACTATCTGTTCACGGGAAAGAGGTTCCTCAGCAGTAATAGGAGCGTCGAGTTCTTGTATATAGTTTTGCATAATTGTGCGATTTTCATCCGGTAAACTATCGACCAACATTTCGATCTCGTTTTCTTGGTTTATTTCTGAACCTGCTATGTCCATCATATTGGTATCATCACAAACTGGCGGCAAGACACCAGTATGGCGCCAGCAATTTTTAATTGTATCAGCAGAAATATTCTCCCAAGCGAGTGCGATATATTCGATTGCCTGTTTTACATTAATTTTAAATCTAAAAAAAGTTAAACCATATTTCTATATGTCAGAAATTTGAGACAGACTGCAGAATATAGTTATGTTCGATTAATAATGGCAAACAGAAATACCTGTCATTACGAGCATCGGCTCCCTCGTCAAATTGTCGAATTAAATAACGACAGAACAAACGTTTATAATGTGCTTTAAAACTATGGATGATACCGGCATCCATCGGTTGTAAATGCGCGGTACTATTTGGTGGAAGGTAATGTATTTTAACATTAGTTAACCGACTTGATGTATGACCTTCAACATTTTCCTGATTGAGTCGTGAGGGATCTATATGTGAGCTCGCATTATCTACAAGCAATAGGGTGTTTATTTTTTTGATTCGACAAAAGTGATCGAATTTCTGGACCCATTCACGAAAAAGATCGGTTCTCATCCATGATTTCGAATTTGCGCGATAGGTTACTGGAAGTGACGACAGGTTGACGTTTTTAAAACAGCGAGGATTTTGGTATCTTCCCACAACAAGTGGTTGGAGCTTATGAGTTCCAGTAGCATTGCAACATAATAGAACTGATAAACGGGATTTGTCCTAAAAAGAGAGAATTCGTGCATGTAATCAAAATCACAGAATAAGCTTAACAATAACAATTTAGCTTAAAATTTACCCTTTTTCGACCTGCTATGCTACTGGTACTGAGTGTCTGATTAGGTTCCATGCGATAGAACAAACCCGTCTCATCAGCGTTATAAATATTTTCAAGATCATATTCAGCTAAGACCTGTTGCAACCTTAACCTGCCCTCTGCTATGTCTGTAAGTGACGCACTGTTTGCCTCCCCATGAAGTGTAATTTTGTGAATACCAATCCGTTTTTTGAATTTATATACCCATCCATTAGAGCATCGAATGTCGTCATCTTCAATATTAAAGCTCTCAGCAAATTCGAGGCCTTTTTCTTGAAGAATTTGATCTGACAGAGGCAAATTCATCGCAATAGCTTGGTTTACCCACAATTCCATAGCTTTGTTCAACTTAGGGTACTTAACAGAACGTTGACGAACTGTGCTAGGATCCTGTTGTGTCGAAAGTATATTAAGCCATTTTTCTTTTTTGGATAAAATTTTGGTTACAGTTGAGCGATTTATGTTAAAATTATATTTATCATTAAAATGTTTGGCAATGTCTGCATGGTTTAAAGTAGAATTTTGTTTCGCATATTCACAAATTTCGCGTTTATTATCAATGCTCAATTGAACTCTTTTTTTCGATTGATGTTGTGAGGACATTGTGTAAAGATTAAATGGTTTGTGTTTATTATTACCTCAACGTTTATATACGCGGTTTTACTCATTACGTTTTATGATGTAACATTTATTCAATACTATCTTACTGTGTAAATTTGTGGCTTATAATATGGCCTTTACGAGATGTTTATCGCTGACATAATAAGTTGTAGAAGCATTTCGCTACAATACAATAAATCGCTACATTATGTGCTATGCACGACATAAAATTGACGTTTTGTTGGGTTTACAAAATTAGCCTTTATGTTACACAATAATTGTGACTGTGTAGAGGGATTATATATATAGACGTCATAGTAACGGGGATCCAAAATCGGGTGACTGTGATTATCACTATAATGTGACTTTATAGGAGGAAAATCACTATGAAAAAAACTGGGACCGAACCAAAATGTGACTATAAGTCAATGTGACTGTATAGGAGGTGACTGTAGGGGAGGTCGACTGTA